TTCTCTCCAGTGCTACCCCCAAAATGTCTGTTCTAGGGCTACGTCCACACTGTCAGTTTTGGGATTGACAGCCACATTTACTTTACAGGTGTGAGTCTCAAAATGTCCCTTTCACACAGCAACTTACAGTAGCATCTTGAATACTGTCTGTATGAACGTGCAATGGGAGTCTGTATTCCTTACTAGTAACCACAGCGACAGTAATATGCAAGATGGTGATGTCCATAAAACTAAAAAGTCAAATCGAAACGTTAGTTCATCTGTCAAATCTTCATTTCACATTAACTGACAGCAGATTTTATTTTGGGGTGAAAAGCGGACATTTGAGTTGCGCGTTGATCACAAAACTGACGGGAGCAGCTCCGGTGGAGAATAGTGACTGAATCTAAAACCTTCGGGATGACACACAGCTCAAAGCCGTCTCTGTAAATTACCAAAACTACACTTGAAAACTTGCAACACACGGTATCCAATCCGGTTCTGTTCACATAGCACAGGTTTTCTGAGAATGCTGTTGTGAGTTCTGAAAATTTACGGGTGACTGTAAGTTCAGTTATAGAATGCGGTTGTCACTTCCGTAAGTTCGGTGAGTTGGTGCACAATTTTGCAAAAAAGAGCGGATTGCTTTATGGTAGCAACAAATGCACATGTACAGTAATTTATGGCAATTACAGCAGTGATATATTTATGACGATTATACTCACTTAACTGTAGGGGGCTCCATTGTCATAAAAATACACAAAACTACATACAATTGCTTTAACATCGTGCTTTAACAAACAACTTTTTAATTAAAAATGTATAATATTGTTTAAAAATACGCAATATTTAGTTTTTATTATTTTATTTTTTTTTAATGTTTGTATTCTTTTATTTTTTGTTTTACTGCAACACACTGAGCACACTTTTCAGTCTGGTATCGGTTCTTGTGATGTTGATTGTGCTTGTGCTGAAATGCAGCATTTTTAATGGAGGCCATTTAAAGCAAGCTGTTAATTCTGTTTCAATCTATTCCAATAATATTAGGGAACATCAACCTGATACTTTATGTTAAGTAGGTTTTTTTAGCTATTAAAATGGCCCTGGGATCTTTGAGACCTCAAACAGAGCATGAGGGTTAACCATGGTGTTAAAGAATTCAAGAAAAAAAGAAAGATGTGGAAAAGGAGCCCAAGAGGGAGAGAGAGAAATAGGAGAGAGGTACTCTGAGGAAGCTCTTGGCTCTGCTTGTCTGCACTTGCACACCAGATGTGCTCTGCCTCAGCTCTGGAATGTGTTTGTGAGAGCAGTTTAACCACTGACCCACCCAACCATTACCACAGAAATCTGATCCAGACAATCCACTCAGCCTCCTTCATTGTGTGTGCATGTGTTCTTCTCTCTATTATCTTGCTTCTTCTATCTACTTTCTTTCTCTACTTCTTCTCTAGATGTTCTCTAAATGTGCCTAAACCTTTTTTTTTTTTTTTTGGTTCCCACAAAGTTCTCCTTTCTTTAACCACTGATTACTCAATGTGTTCACTCAAACACACACTCACACACACTTTACAAGCACAGGTTCACACTCATACACAAGCACTCATGCTGATTGCATTTTAATGGTAATCCATGAGCCGTGACAAGGCAATAAAATAAAACTTGAGAACTTAAAGATGGTCATTCATTCTGCACATAAAGGCAGAGGAGGGAGATTTTCTGTTTTACTCTTTCTCTATTGAGTTCAGGGCTTTTACAAGTGATGAACATTTTAAACTCATGCACAAAGTCAGTCATTTAAAAAATAGTTTTGAATATTAAATATGTTTACGAATATTAATAAAAAATTATAAATAGTTTCTCTCATTTGATGTTGCTTTATGTGGGTAGTTTGTTTGCTGGATAGACAGAGACAGAGAGACAGACAGATAGATAGATAGATAGATAGATAGATAGATAGATAGATAGATAGATAGATAGATAGATTTAGGCCTAAATTTATTTGTATTTGAATTGCATAAAATTTTGATCAATAAACTTAATGTTATGTATATTTGTCAGTCATAAAATAAATCTGTAAGATTTCTGTACTCAGAAAATTATGCCATAGATGTAGGCCTACATTTATTCACTTAAAGGGGTCATATGATGCAATTTCAAATTTTCCTTTCTCAAGTTAAACAATATTCAGTTGTTTGCTATTGTATGAGACGGAAACAAATTGGATTGGCTTATGATAAATACATAAACCTGTTTATTGTATATTTAAAACATAATAAGACAGACAGATCGATTTAAAGAGACTGTAATCATAAAAACACATGGAATAATTTATTCCAGAATTCTGCTCTAGGCCTATTTCCCAGTCAAGAATCAAAAGTGGTTGTTTTGTGGGATTTGACATGACACTTTTGGCATTGGTAGAGCTTAGATGAAATCTGATCAGACCAAAAGATTTGACAAGGCTGTGCTGTTTATATGTAAATGTGATGTTTACATGTAAATGTGCGCCAAGAACATAAATTTAAAAAGAAACATATGAAATCGTTGCTGTGATTAGATGTTTCTGGATGACTAATAGGCTATAACTCTACATCCAACACAGACCTCTAAACTGTGTAAAGAAAAACAGACAACAGTGACTTTTACATCAAATCACGGACACTACGTCCATGTTTTTATAGTCTATGGTTTGTCCACACATTTACTGCTCAATAACAGTGTAGTCGCCTTACGCAGCAGTGTGAGTTACGAAGTCCTGTAACTATTTTCAGCACATACTTAGTTGAGACCGTCTACCAACTACCATTCTTGTGCGATTTTGCAGACACCCCTATATTTTAATCGTTCAAAACTCTGCTCCAGATGAGGCTCGAACTCACAACCTCGGCATTGCTCTGCTTTGTACTGCTGTATAAGTACCGCGCGCTAACCGATTGCGCCACTGGAGCTTAGGTTATGCGTTAGAACAATAATCATCACAATAGGATGAGATCCTCATGTTTCCTAAAACTTGAAAAAGGAAACGTAAGACGGATCTCTTGGTCCCTTACTGGTGATAATGTCACACATATATCTTTCAACCTAAGTTAACGGTGTATTATCCACAAGGACCGTTTGTCACCCCATCAGTGAACCAGTTTATGAATGGACACAGTTGGTTATTAGTTTATGTTTTAGGACTGTACTGCCCCCTAGTGGTGTCTAAGGTGTTTTAAGTCCCCTTTTGGGCGCCATTGTGGAATTTTTTCTTAAAACCCCTGGTTAGTAATTGTACAGCGACTACGTATTGTTGAGTAATACGTGTTTTGTCTGTCCCAAAGTCCCCCCCCAAAAAAATCAAATATATAGCCGTTTTAGAAGCACATATACTGCTTGACATTTATTGTGAGTTTTTACACTTTAAAATAAAACAGAACATATTCTTATCACATATCCCAGTTGTCTCCCAGTATGGTGTGCAAATATTTCCCAATAGGCTACTATGAGAGTACATCACTGCCCTGAAGTGACATCACATTCAAGAATTCATCTCGGCTCTTCTTTCGATTTATGTTTTTTTTTTCCACCGCATAGCCTACAGTTGATTATGTGATATGATTAACATTACTGATTTGCGATCTAAATAAAATAATAACAGATATCAAACGTAAAGATCATTAATCTTCCTTTACTCCGCCCACAGTGGTATCGTTTCCCAACAACTTACTGCAACTTACAAAATCGATCTCTAACCGTCACGATAACGACAACAACTCCTCATTTGGTAAGTCTAAAAAGACTTTTAATCTACCTTGATTATATTTTCTTCATTCTTTTGCCAAAAATAGACTAAGGATTAAGATTATGAATTACAAATAATTTAGGGGGTTTATTCCACCACAATTCACCATTAACTGAGCAGAATTGGCGAACATCTTTGTATTTACATTGTGTTAACACAATATTAATTTACTTTAGGTTACTTTTCATCATGAGTAACATCACCTCCTGCACAGAACCTCAGACCCTTGTTTCTTCCATTTTAAAGCCTGTTCTCATTTTGGAGTTCATCTTTGGGTTGCCTGGAAATGTGTTTGCTCTGTGGATTTTGTTCTTCAAGTCAACATGGAAAGCCTGCAATGTGTATCTCTTCTGCTTGGTGATATCTGACCTCCTACTCCTCACTGGGCTGCCTTTCTGCATAGATTATCTCTTCCGTGGTGAAGACTGGATATTTGGCGAATCCTTTTGCCGCCTCATTTTATATATCATATCAGTAAACTACTCAGCAAGCATGGCTTTCATGTCAATTTTAGCCGTGGACCGCTTCTTCAGGATCCTTCACCCACACCATCGCATTTGTCGAATGAGTGTGAGACAAGCTATAATGTTGGCTAGCACGGTTTGGATGGTTGTTCTACTCCTTCGCCTTCCAACCGCCCTGAACCTGGTTCTCGCATCACAGATAAACTCTTCAAAGCTCACATGCCACACTTTTCTCTCATGGACATGGCCGTTGGTTCAGATGAGGATATATAATTCAGTCCAGCTGATAGAGGTCCTGTTAGCATTTGCACTGGTGGTCTTCTGCTTTGTGCGGGTTTCCTTTCACGTCCACGGTCGCCAGTCTAAGGGGGCACACCGCAGGGTGAAGCGGGCAGTGAGATTGCTTCTGTTTCTTGTGATCATATTTGTTCTGTGTTTCCTGCCTACAGTCACTTTTGGCATCTTCCTTCAAGTGTTTTCCTGTTCAGAATTCCTCAAGGTGTGTTTTCATGCTTCTTTAGCTTTAACCTACATGAACAGTGCACTGGATCCAGTCATCTACTGCCACGTTAGTGCTTGGTTTCGTGACACCCTAAAGGGCAAAACCAACTCATTAGGGTTGACGAAGTTCAAGATGAGTGCGAAAACAAACAGAAAACGTTAATCTACCTGAGAAACTGTGCATTGGGGGGAATTAAAATGTGTCTTAAAGGTATAGTTCGCATAAAAATTTAAATTCATTTATTACTCACCTTCACATGTTGTTCCATACCTGTATGACGTTCTTTCTAACACTTAAGATAATACTTTGAAAAATGTTTTCTTAATATCTTCTTTTGTGTTCTGCAACAGTCATACAGGTTTGGAACAACATGAGGGTGTGAAAATTTATTATTATTTTGCACAATACATTCTATAATATGCTATACTGTACACCTTTCTATAGTTTGTTGTCATGTGTTCTGCCTGTGACATGCATCATCAATTGCTTTTCATATTATCACATAGACGTACAATCTGTACTGCGCTTTTTTATTTAGCATTTTTCAGTAAATGTTTGACACACAATGAAATACAACAGAAATGTATGAGGCATAGAAAACAAAATAGCTTATTGTTTCACACTCACATGCGGTCACATTGCCCTTTGAAGTTAAAAAGCCAATGAGTTTCTTCCTTAAAAACATCCAAAGGGCATCTGAAAGAGTCTTCAATGTCCAGGGGAACAGAACCATAATTCCTGAATGAATATTTAAGAGTTGCAAAGACTGCTTTGACTTCCACGAATCATTACAACATCTCCAGTTAAAAGAATCTATTGAACATGCTCTCAGTTAAGACCACCTAATAGCCAGCAACTCAACATAAAATCCAGTCCTCGCTTGAATACAATATAAAAACAGCTCACAAACTTGTACTTGTCATGATACGCACAGAAGATACAGAGAAATAAAGGAAACCATTCAATGCAGAGCTAACTAAATATACAAAGAGTACACTAACACTTCTCAAAAGAGTCTGTTGAGTGGTCAGCATTGACCTGACTGTACATGATACACATTTGAGGCATGGCCACTCGTGGAACCCTGTAAGTTTAGTTTCCACAGCCATAGATTCTCATCAAACAAGTGCTTAGAGCTAATGTTACAAGTTGCTGCAAGGTAAAAGTGTTTGTATTGAAACTTCATGAGCATTCAGTACTTAGAAAGATATTGAAACAAGAATTGCAGGCTGCCATCCAAGAAGGTTCTGAATATACAAGTATCATTTTATTGGGGGTTATTAGCTAAATGCTTTATTACTGAGAGTCTTTTGTCCTGAATAGGAAGTGAAAGTTTTAGAAGAAGTAGACTAAAGAGGAATAAGAAGTGTTTTAGTGGCTTGTGGCCTGTGCAGTGCAGAGTTAGGCAGCAAATGAGAAAGTGACAGAACAGGCTGAGGGAACAATGCAGGCGAGGGGGTCAGTCGTGGATGACGATTGGGCCTCGCATCCGTAAACTGGGGTGAGGGGGCGCCAGGACAGGTACCTGCGCTGGCCCCTGGGGGACCCTGCGCAGGCTGATCTGCTCACATGGTTGTCTGCACGCTCTTCTTAACTGTGAACGGGAGAGCAGCCTTCTGGCCTTCCTGAGGGAACAGGAAGATCAAACACATGTCATATGTCATAGCTTACATTTAACAATACATAATAGGTCCTTTTTTTTTTTTTTTAGGTATGCCTTAAATTGATCAAAAGTGACAGTGAAGACATTTAAAATGTTCCAAAAAAATCTATTTCAAATAAACGCTGTATTCATATTCATCAAAACATACTAAAAATGGTTTCCACAAAAAAAATATTTTAAGCAGTTCAACATTGATAATAATAAGAAATGTTTCTTGAGCAGCAAAACAGCATTTCTGAAGGATCATGTGACAATGAAAACTGGTGTAATGATGCTGAAAATTTAGCTTTGCCATCACAGGAATAAATTATACTTTATAGGAAAAAAATAGAAAACATTGGTCTTAAATTTGTAATAATATTTAAAAATATTACTGTATTTTTATATCAAATGCAGCCTTAGTGAGCCTAAGAGACTTCTTTTAAAAACTCTTAATCTTACCAATGCAAAATTATGAACGGTAGTGTATTAATTATTAAATATTTTAAATATATGGTATTGAAAATATATTTTAAAATATTAATTAAAGCAAAACGTTTACTATACCAAGTCATTGCAATAATTTAGAATGCAAGTATCATGGAATCCCCTGTGTTGTGCAATACTTTGTGTGCAACAGGATATTTCTAAAATATTGTGACAGGAAATACACAAGAAGAACTAACATGCTTTATCACATCTTGCAAGCTTTGGAATGTGAGCTTGCTTACTAGTTTATAAAATATCAAGAAAGAAAACAAAATTGAAAACTGTACAGATTCAGTTTTCCTTTGTGCATCACATAGTACAATTGCGTTTACCTCGGCACGTTGCAGATATAAGAGGTAGCAATTATTAAGCGAAATAGCATAAAACAACATGACTTAGTGACATAAACAATGTTCTATTCATGATCGGGTACATATATTGCAGAGAGAGAAATGAATGAATCGCCTGGGTCTAACGTTCATGCAAAATGAATGAGGCCGACAGGCATCCACAGGGGACAGCCCTTAGATTAGATTGGCCATAATGAAAGAACCGTTAACTGGGTCTCTCGAACAACAAATGCATGATGATATTCTAGAATGTGCTTGCATTTATAGCATATGTGTTTACTTTATAAATCACACTACGTTAACACAAATACACATATTCATTCATTACCAGCACAGAGCCGTAATATAACTATGATTAGGTTGCATGCTTTTGCACTGATGGATTTGATTAGTTCTTTTGCAAAGCAACAGCAAACCTTTAACACTACAAATACTATACAATGATATGAAGCATATATTTACTATCTATTTTAACATCAACTCAAACAACAGAGTGCAATTTCAGCATGAGAGAGTCGTGACAGTCTGGTGTAAACCTGTTAGAGAACCAGGCTGAGTCCCAGACCAGATCCCATTTGTCTCTGGGTCTCTTGCCTAGTTAAAGGCTAATCTTTCAGAGCAGGGGCGCTAAATTTAGCCTAGCATCCGCTCCAGCGCTCGAGGCCATAGGGAGCTGTGCAAGTCATGGCTCATATGGATGTGGCTGTAATGGAGAGGCATTTTTCTTCAAGCTCACATCTACTTCTCAATGCCAAAGATGTTAAAACCAAACCCCTTGCTGCTGTGGATGAACTATTATGACTATCTGACTTCTGTCTGTCTGATCTACATTAAGCATAAAAACACATTTTGCAGGCTGAGATGTCAAAAGCCACCAGAAATGCAGTTCATATTGAGTGTATAGGTTAATCGAGTGTCTCTTTTGGTCATACATTTCATACATTTTGCAAGACTCCACAGGTAATGTGGTTTAGGTTTTGTGTACGGTGCGTGCGATCTTACCATGTTCAGGTGTCTAACAGCTGCAGCAACAAAACGAGACAAGCAAACAGTCACTAAAAAGTAGTCATGAAACAACAGGGCAAATCATGTGTCCAATTCCCCCTGCTCAAAATAACATTTTCGTTTGTTTCATTGTAATTCCAGTCTAAATAACACTGCCAAACAATTCTACTGAGAAATGTTGCTATGACTCTACATTGTTATAAGGAACTAAAAAAGCACATTCACAAAGGTAGTGAGACAAGTACACTGGCAATCAAAACTTTGGACACAACTACTCATTTTTGATTATTTTATATACAAAACAAAACAAACAAAAACAAAACTAAACTAAACTAAACTGTACTCAAAGCAAAACTAAACAAAAAACAAACTAAAACCAAAACAAAACAAAAAAACTCAAATCGAACCAAACAAAAAATAAAATAAGTAAATAAATAAAATACAATAAAACAAGACAAAAAAAAACTAAATCAGTTAGCAAAACTGAAATAACTAATGAAAGTATGAGATTTATGTAATAATAAATAATAATTCCTATATGTTATATAATGTAAAAATGCAATCTTTTCAGAATTGATAAAAATGACACTTTATTTACAAAGCTATTTTCAAGCATTTAAGCATAACAGGTTTTAGGATCATGAGAATCCTAAACATCTAAAATAAATAAATAAAAATGTAAAGTTGTGTGTTCAAACTTTTGACTGGGAGTGTATGTGTGTTTGTGAAGCATTAAGTTACCTGTGGAGTCTCATCTCTCTGGATTAAACCTAACCTCAATCTGCATCAAAAATCATTCTTTTTCAGTTGTCTCTCCATGCCACCACAGATTAATGGGATCATGGGTATTGTTAATTATAGGATCTTTGTTATTGAAAAATTGTCCCTGACATCTGAGATTGACTCGCCCATTTCCTACACTGACAACTCCGGCTTAGACCCTCCACTGTCACTGGGTATGACCAATGCAGTAATTACACGTGCCAATCCTATCACCAAGATCAGTCACTCTTATGTGAAGGTTGAATCAAAATGATGGAAACTTAATCAGATGTGTCATGCCATCTCAGGGGATAACCTCTGCAGGTGCCAATCATGGAAGAACAAGATAAGGGCTGTTTTTTGACATGGAGTGTGTCTGCCCTGCTGTTTTCTATTAAATTTGTCTCTAGGCTCTATGTACAGGCCTGAGTGAAGCTAACCAAATGAAAGCACACAAAAGTGGATGTCGGTGTCACTTAGTGAACAAGGCACGACAAGTTTAGGTTTTAGAGGAGTGCGATGCCATGGGAAATACTGCCAAAATAGACAGCGAGGTTGGTTTGCACACCTCGTCTCTCGGGAAACCAGAAAGAAGCTGTCATCGGGAGCATCGATCCAGTTGGGTCGTCTCTTGCGGAGCATCAGGCCACTGTTACGAGCGTTGGAGGCACCGGTGCTGCTTCCATTATGCTGCTGAAATAGGGAAGGAGATGGCATCTTGAAATATTTCCCTCTTGCAAAAGAATTACTGACTATATGCCCTTAGAGGACTTCAGTATTCATTCTTATAGTGAGCATAAACATTTGGTAGATGCCTAGAAGCTCAAGAGTCCCAAAATCAATAAATAAAAAATGATTTAGCAAAAAAAAAAAATTTCACATATATATAAAATTAGTGTTGCTATAGGTTGACTGTTTTCAGTGGAAGCCCGTTTCCGCCACTGAATAAAAAAAAAGGTTATTGCGACTTTTTATCTCACAATTCTGACTTTTTTCTCAGAATTGCGTGATATAAATTCACAATTGCGAATTATAAAGTCAGAACTGCTAGATGTAAAGTCACAATTTCGAGATATAAGCTTGCAGTTCTGAGGAAAAAAGTCAGAATGAGTTTATATCTCGCAGTTCTGACTTCATTTCTGAGAATTGCGACATTATGTCTCGCAATTGCAAGTTTATATCACGCAATTCTGACTTTATCTCTCAAAATTATGACTTTTTATCTCACAATTGCGAGTTTGTATCACGCAATTCTGAGAAAAAAAGTCAATTGTGAGATAAAAAGTCGCAATTACCTTTTTTATTTTTTATTCAGTGACGGCCTTCCACTTTTTTCTGCTTTGAAATGGATTATTCTTCTTAGTGAAAGATAAAATACAAAATCTACAAAATTAAAGATAACAATTTCGAGATATAAGCTTGCAATTCTGAGGAAAAAAGTCAGAATGAGTTTATATCTCGCAGTTCTGACTTAATTTCTCAGAATTGCGACATTATGTCTCGCAATTGCAAGTTTATATCACGCAATTCTGACTTTATCTCTCAAAATTATGACTTTTTATCTCACAATTGCGAGTTTGTATCACGCAATTCTGAGAAAAAAAGTCAATTGTGAGATAAAAAGTCGCAATTACCTTTTTTATTTTTTATTCAGTGACGGCCTTCCACTTTTTTCTGCTTTGAAATGGATTATTCTTCTTAGTGAAAGATAAAATACAAAATCTACAAAATTAAAGATAATTATAGTAAAATTGTTTAATTAATATTTAATGTGCTTGCATTTTAAGTAGTCATGTAATAAACAGAATAATTTACCGATGGCTCGTTATTATTTATAACCTTGTTGGTGTTTCTCACTATCTTAGTTACTCCCCAATACACAGACTTGTAATGAATTTTAAATCACAAGATGCACAAAAAAAAGTCTTAGTAACAAAGCAATTTTCTTCAATTGTTTTCCTAGGTTGAAACTCAACCTGGGATCTATAAATTTGTTTGGTCCCACAAGATGCAAATAGCATCCATAGAGATAAACAACTGAAACAATAAAGCAACTTTTAATCTTCTTCAGTTTTAGAAATGGCAGGCCAAAAATGAGGTGAAGGTCCATCCACTATATTTACATTATTCATCTCATGGATGAACAGTGAGTGCTTTTGTGTTTGTTTTGCTCTCTCGCTTCTCATTTCCATTTCACCCGGCCGCAATAATCAGTGGGAAACCTCCGAGGCTGGAGATTGAAGCTGTCACCTGAACCGATTCACAGCGTCAACAGTATCTGCATTCAAATATGTTATAAGATGGAATCTCGCTCTCTCAGCAACACAAATGCTAGTAAGTTATTGTCTTCCAGTCTGATGAAACCACACTGATAATATATGAGACCTTCCTGCTTTAGTCTAAACCAGTGATACGAGTGAATCAAGTCATTGTTACTTACCAGAATGGGTCCCACAATATGGGCTGGATTTTCTATGACAAAAAAAAGAGGTGCGTAGTAAGAAGTATGCATATAATACCATTATTATTAACCATCTTTGACATCTATACTCCTAAAAAATATAGGTTCTTTATGGGCATCTATGATTCCATGAAGAACCTTTAACATCCCATGGAAACTTTTCAATGCATAAAAAAAGGTTCTTTACTGGAAAAAAAGTTTCTTTAGATGTTTAGAGGTTCTTTAAAATATTCTTTACACTAAGAAAAAAGAAGTCAGGTAACCTTTATTTTTATGTTTATACCACTGATCTATAATAGAGAACTCTTAAAAGTAAATGTTCTTTATTGGCATTGATGGTTCTATGAAGAACCTTTAACATCCATGGAATTAAAAGGTTCTTCAGATTATTAACATGTATTTCACACTAAGAAAAACAATGGTTCTTTTAAGAATTGTTCACTGAAAGGTCTTTTGAGGAAGCAAAAAATGATGTTCTATGACATCACTGCAAAAAAAACCCTTTTGGAACGTTTATGTACAATAGATATTGTTTCAAATAAGCTAGTATGTTCTTTAGAGAACCCAAAATGGTTCTCTTTATTTTTAAGAGTGGTATGTATTTTTACTGTAAACCCACCTTGTCCTGGAGCACTGGCTCTTCTCTCTGCAGATTCAACCCTGCTGTGGTGATGGTAGCTCCGTTTTCCCAACATGCCATGTGGGCCATGGCTGGGAAGAGAGGAAAGTAGGCGCCGTGGGGGCTGCACCTGTAGGCCAGGGGTGCGATGAGGACGTTGAACGTGCATTGCTGGACGAGTCTCTGAAATTACAGAATATTCACTGTCATCAGTTAGTTACAGCTCAAAGGAAGCATTTGTAATGTTGTGTGGCTCACCGAGATACTGCAAGACGCTGGTCAGGGTGCTCCTCGGGGAAGATTTGGGCTTCATAGGTCGCCCTGTCATGCCCTCTGACACCCGGATCATATCTATTCATCGACCGGTAGTACAGAACAAACAAACGGAGATAGAAGCAAGTCAAAGAGCGAGAAAGAGACATTCACACTTAGACACCAACACGAAAAGGCCGGCTTGATGGATGTTGAGGCGATACACCAACCTGTGACTAATCTTTCTGACCGGACAACAATTTTTATGGGAGCAGCAAGCAGAGTCAAATCTCATTTGCTGCTCGGTTCGTTCTTTAGGCCCTAGTGAATGTAGTTCTTCCCGGTGAACTCCGGAACATTGATCTGACCACAGTGAACCCATTAAAACCACTCCAACTTTCTTTGGTTGGTTTTAAAATTCATTAAAACTCCAGAAGAGTTGGAAGTTGTTTAAAGCCGTTCTCTTCAGGCAGTTCTTCTTGTTGACTTGGCAAACCTGGAGAGAAGCTGTCTTGAAGATGTACCGATATAAGTTCAATTCATTACCCTTTCAACAATACATCGAATGTGGAGAAAAAACGTTGCTGAACTGGGTGATGCATTATCTAGCGACACAAAATCCATTTTTTAAAATGAACCTGTGCCTTCGGGGAAGTGCTGAAATAGCAGTTCTCTGACTTTTATGTGTGTAACAAACTGTTTTCTTCACCTTTGAATCCTCATGGTTGCAAATGTGTTTTATTAAACTCCCGTGATTCATTGCATCATTTGTGTGTCACATTTCGATGCACTAAACCTGATTATTCCATGATTTTCATGCACAATCTCTGATGGGCAGGCTATGTGTTGAACATAACCTAGTTAGCCAGCATGTTGAATGAGGTTGGAAAGAGGAAAACAAATGCGATGTTGCATTCACAGCGGCTTCTTATGAGTGTGTGCATGTAAACAAGTCATGAAGGCAAGGCAGAAGCCGATGGAGCTCATGCTGTCGGAGATTTCACATGATTGCCGCTCTGCTCTGCCTGTCGGTGTGCGTGCAACAGAGTGATGGACAGGTACACGAGACACATGAAACTACAAGGACTCAGATAGGATGGTTTCAGCCATGGTTTTATTTGTGTTTTGGTTGCCCACAAGACATTCACACAAAGAAAAATAAAAGAGAGACAAACCAAAGAGCATGCTGCCCCCACCCGGGTCCCTCGTGCTTCAGGACACAGATGTCAGAACAACTTTTTATGGCTGGGGATACATACAGACGTGTTTGGGGTGAAGACAGAGGTGGAATGGAAGCATAGAATGGAGGTTTCGCATGATGGGAGGGGGGCAATGCAAATCTGAGTGGAAAAACTTCTGATTGGACAGACGCAGAGCAGGTGATTGGCTCTCTTGCCCTGTTGATATGAGCTCTCCCTGTAAAAGTGACCTATTTACAAGTGCCTGTCAAGAGGAAACAGCTGCCTTTAGAGCAAAGCCTGGCTACCACGATCTGTAACCTCATCTCTGGGCTTGTTTAAAAGTGTGTTGCATATTTGAGGGTTTTTAGTTTGTGATGCATCTTTCTCTTTCATCGCAACTCGGTGTTTCATTAATTAACATCAACTCAAATGCGCTCTATGACAAATAATAAATCAGTAACCATTTAAGAAGCCCAAAAATCTTAAATTATTGCCAATGTCGCAAAACCATCCCTTTAAAAGTTCTGGTCTAGGGCCATTTTTCTTTTCTGTGCCAACGTAACACTTCCCAAGACACAAAGTCCTCCTGATCAATTACCGCCATTGGCCAACTTCCCCAGCATTTTAAATTGGCCTTTTGACAAATTGCAGACTAGTGTGCAAACTCTTTAGGAGAACAAACTTCAGTTTTGAATATCAGAATAACAAACACACTAGGGAATTTTTCCAACTGCATGACTCAATGTTTTGTAAATAACTCCTTCCAACTTATTGAACATCTAATTAATTAGATCCTAAACTGCACCAAAAATGAGACTGATAGTCCATCATTCTTGCATTACTGAAAAGCACAATAGAAGAGTTTCTTGTTAACCAACACTTCATCATCTCATTACATACATGCATGACTCTGAACAGCCTGTCAATGGTAGCTACCGAATGATTGACTGGATGCACAGGTAATAGCAATTCAATTAGCTATTCCACATAAAATGTTGTATAAGCGGTCTGCTACAATAAAATAAGACATATTCTTCCCTTAGAGACATTAGTGTTCACTTAGGTACAATCAGTGATGAAACTGTCTGTATTTAGAGGCAGTTCAGTGGAAGTGACAAAAATTAAAGCTGAGGCATTAACGTACATACACTAACTGACAATCCACACTCCAGAGGTACATATTTCCATACATTTTCCTGACAGGGACAGTATTTCAACTATAAATCTTGGCACACACCATTATGAATTTTTGTACTTTTTTCTGTTGATGTAACAAGTTATCCTAATAATTTATTTGATCTCAGTCAAAAAATAAAATCCTAATGCACATTTTATAATGGGTAAATAAAAAAAGATTTAAAAGGCAAAAAGTAAAAACATATGTTGAATGTATGTACTTCCTAGTACTAATTGTTCTATGTTTAGATTTGATAAAGCAGCTGTGGGTATAATCTTCAGAAAATAAACTGAACATTTAAAGAAAGATCCCAGATCGACATTAGAGGGTGTTTGTTCTGTGCAAAATCAAAGAGATCCTTCTGCCTGAACCAACTGGACTGAGAACATCTAAACACCACAACCTAGTGTCATTCACTCTTGAACTTAATATCCATAAAGGCTTTCTGACAAGTCTAAGAGTGACTATTCACAAATGTACAATATTTACAAGTAAAATATGCATACGTTTTTGAATTTACTCACTAAAATCCTGCAAATCCAACTCTTATAGCTCTAAAATCCTCCCACAATAAACCTAGAATACACAAAAATATATCCCATCCCCTTAAATTGTAGTGCCACATGCATTAAAACACTATAAAAGTGTTTAGGGGAAAAAAACGCAAAACCAAAATAGCTTATCCTTCTTAAGAGCAAATCTGGGGAGACTTTAAGTAACAGCAAAAAAAAAAAAAAAAACATGTAACTTTAAACCAAACAGTACCCCTAGTTATTTTAGTACATCAGTGTGCAAAATATAGCTTTCTTTAGGCAAAGTCTTTCAAGTCTCTCATTGAGCTTTTAATAAATATAAGGCTCAGATTATGATACGCATTTCAAGTAAAATTACAATGTACGATGAAGCAGGCATAGTAGGGCATCCATTAAGTCTTTGTGTTTGTGATGTGTGCATACAAAACTCTCTTCAACAAACTGAGAGAAGTGCTAAAAAATGTGCTTATGTTCAATTTAAGCAACATCATAAAACCCTTAACCCAAGTCAACAAGTGTGAGGGGGGGGAAAGTGAATTTGAACTGAAAAGATGATTGAAACGCAAAATATGGAGGACAGGCAGTCTTTATTGGAAATGGGGTGGGGAGAATACAAAAACCAAAATAAAATATAATAACAATAATTATAATAATAATAAAAACAGTACGAGACAGAAGATGGAGGGGAGGAATGACAGCGAGATGTGGACAGGTGTGGTCAGGGAACAGAGCGGGCGGGACAGTGTGGGTGGTGGGTGTGTTTGCACACGAGGCTGAAGTTAGGAATTTAAAGAGCTCTTACACTCCGCCTTTATGGCACCACAGTTAATGGGCACAAAGGGGCGGCGCGCGGCCCGGCGCAGCCTGATGAGATCACGGCACATGTGACGCGCCAGCTTGGTGAGGCGCGTGGCCTGCAGGAGGAACGCCTGCTTAGTCTTCATGGAGGATTTGGGGCTGCCGCTGTTCCTTATCGGAACCATGTGGGAAGACTGACGGGCACCATGGCCACGAGAACGCATCTCCTGTGGAGAGACAGACAATGAAGGAAGTTAGGGATTGATACAGGAAAAAAATGGAAATACAACCAAAATAAGATGTACAGTGGGAAAACAGCAAAAACTGAAACGGAATATCATGGCTTTCTTAAAGTTTTGAGACGACTCCTGATGCCTCCCTGACCTCTGTTCATTTGCAACCAGGATAAATGGTTTGCGCCAATCACAATGTGTTTTTGCTCTGAAATTTTGCCTCCCAAAGCCAAAATGTAATTATTTACAAGTGATATTAGTACTATGGTAGCACTTTTTCAATGTAGTTCTATATATTAGCTAAACCAATAGCTCAATGCAGATCTACACCGTCAGAACTGTACTTACATTGGGTGCAGGGCTTGGAGGCGTTTTTTCCTCTTCCCCCTCAGCTCTGCTTGGCATCTTTAGGCCACCATACTTTTTCCAGTACATCCAACAGGACACACAAAGGCGACACTGCATGTTAGGGGGACCCCACGAGTACCACTGAGCAGACTGTGCGGCTGTAAACAGAGAATAAAAATTAACAAGCCACTAATATGAAATGCACTAAAAAGTGTAATTATGCCTGATGTGTCATTCTTGTTCAGGAAAACCTCATTCCCATTCAATTAATTCTGTATACCTAAGTTTGTCTAAAAGAACAGACAGCCTTCATGAAAACATAATTGCAAACTAAAGAAAAATATAAAGCAATGTACTACAACACAATTAGGGCCCAATGATTTCGGCGAAAACGAGGACGGATCATAAAAATGGTCTCCAGTCATAAAAATGGAATTTACTGTATAACGTGGAACGTTACGGATTTTCCAAATTTTGGATGGATACGTCAAAAGTAGGTCAGTATACTTAAATCAAAATGTGATATGGACTAATGTCTGTGAAATATTAAGCAGCAGAAATAGCATTTAAATATGAATCCTGCATGTTCTGTGTGTCTGTGTGAATGAATGGCGCAGACGTGCACGAGACCCTTAAGGTGTTTTCAGCCTCTGCCGCCTCAATATATGAGTACATGAACATCTCTAGAACTGCTCTGAGAGTCACTTCATGAGCATTTTACCGTTTCTTTTGAGTAAAACTATCGTCTTATCATATACAAATAGAAACCAAAAGGTCTTCACAGCAACCTGTCAAAATAAAAGTTTGGTTTAACTTGAAGAAACCGTGATATAACTATTACTTAATGTAATGATAGTACTACTGCTACTAATAAAATTATTAAAACATATTTTTTATTTACCAGAAAAATTATTTACCATAATTTATTTAGCAGAAAAATAAAATATATTTCATAGGGCCTTAAAAATGTCATTTTTGTTCAAACCTTTAATAAATTGGTGTTTAAGTACTTAGTAAGTTTCAGGATTTATTTAATTAGATATGCTTTTTGATTAATACAATTTAATTTAACCATTAAAACGGAAAACCATCAACTTTAACCAAAAAAAACAACAACACTGAATTCAGAAAAATTAAAACGAAAAAACGGAATTTGGAAACAAATAAAATGAATTTCATAGGGCCCTACACAATGAAAGGATTAGGTTCAATTTAAATTCACTTTATGCTCCCCTACTGTGAGTTCATTACTAAAAGGCGATATTGATCCAGACTAATCATTGCTGATCACATAGATTGTGATGCGGCACCTTTGACTGACCTGATTGGAAGATAAAAAGGTGAAAATGCAGTATCCAGCCCCATTGATTACAGGAGGTGTGACATGCCCTCCGGGAGAAGCAGCGAATTGATTGGATGGCTGTGTTGACTGTAATTAGGCGAAGAGGGTCTTTACTCACCAAAACAGCTCTCACATGCGCGGCCGCCTCCGGCTGTGTGGAAACTGCCTGTTCCTGCTGCACCATTTACAGTAGCCATTTTGCCGTTACTGACGGAGATCTGGTTGGGATTGGGTTTGTTGCTGTGAGGCAAAAAGCAAATGAGATTTCACACTATAATCTTTTACAAGAGGTTTATAAACATGCAAAATCTAAATCCGATCACAAGCAGTCACTGGAGAAGTAGCTGAGACTGATCCTAATATAAAGGACCATTGAAATGATGGTGTAGAGCTGGTATTTTAGAGATGCTAAAACTCACTATGTAGGGATGTACACTTGCTTCAGTTTGCTCTCTGCTTCAGCTGCCTTCAGTCGTTTCTGTACAAAATGATAAATATTAAGCTTAAAGCGAGATCAAAGACAGTCAGAGCAAACAGAGAAAGAGATTTCCAGATAATTAAAGAAAATCTATCAAAGTACAGCTTTAAACTAAAAATGCTGCTCACCTGCTGAACATATCTGTCTGTGGTTTTCCACATGTAATAATACTCAATGATGCTGGTCAGCGACTTCCAAGGAAGCTGAAATAAAACACAGGTTATTTAAGACGTCAAAAACCATAAGGAGGCGTCGTACTGAAGATACAGCTCTTGTCTTAATTCTTTAAGTGGTCGGAATTTATGGAATATTTATTTTGAGCGTGATATGTCTAGAATCGCATGCAGACGCTCATGATTATTCATGAGGACCCGCTGAGCGCAAAGGAACGTTCATGAAACGGGTGCAAAGAATTTAAGAAATCTTAATATAAAGCTGGCCGAGCCCCCACTTTTGGCCCACATCTATGCGAGGGTGTGCAGAGTATAAAAATGAACACAGAGGTGTTCTAGGCTGACAGCTGGTGTTATGAAGAACATTTAGATTAACATCCTGAGGTATCCTGAGGCTATGTATTTTTAGTGGCTGGTTTCTCTGCCTTTCTTTTGGTTTTTGAACCCGACGAGGAAACTAAAGATGGGAAATCATTAGATTACAGTTCTTCTCTAGTATGAATCCATCTTCTTAACTTTTATGCTTAAGTTGTGTTTAAAGTTGTGTTTACCTAAATAAAATAAAGTTTAATAAAACAATGAGAAATACTGTGTTTAATCGGAGAGAGAGAAATGTAGCCCTTTTTCATGATCTGCAATTCCTGATCTTTATCTGTAGTCATTATCCTCATTCTGTAAATGGGTATCTGGCAACATGCACTTTGGACATTTGACAAGGTGTTAAAAATGTAACCTATCATTTTCACAATTTTATGAATAATTATACAACACCTAGACCACTTGACATTTCAATCGTTTGTAAATCTTTAAAACTACCTGTACAGAATGAATGCAGAATCAGCCAGACAAGCTGAATTAGATATTCGAACCTTGCAATGGTCGATGATGTTTTAAACGTTTTGAATCCGTCTCTTCTATCTATTAATCACAGCACAAATCAATCACTATCGATGACTGCTTTAAGACAGAAAGGGAAACAAAGAGTAAGAGAAAACCAGTGCACCATTTAAACCAAGTCGATCTCTATGAGACTATTTGGTGTTCTTGAACAAGTGATTCTTATTGTGTGCTATAAAGTGGCTCTGTAGAAGTGCAGTTGTTGTTCATTCCATTTTGAGAAGTAAAGCCCCAGAGTAAAGAAATCCCATTTCTCAGAGCAATAGAAAACAGCTTTTCCTTGCATTTACACCCTAACACCAAAGCTCTCACTCCAGCCCCCATACAAATAAGTACCCTTGTCTCTGAATGAACGGATCAAATGTTTAAGTTTGGTCAAGAAGCAACACGCTCCAAATCAAACCCTCTCAGCAGGTCCAATCTTCCCATCGTTCAGCCTCACATCACCTCATCTCTGCTGCTACTCTTCCATCCCTTCATTTGAAGTGTCGTTCTTTGCTTTGCTCCTCTAACTATCATTTCTGTTTTTTCAACAGCACCACATATAACAATCCAGTTTAAACTGTTCTTCTTTCCCCCTATAGCGCCTTTCAAGACATCTTTCTGCTAGGGGTGAGAATCTTTAGGCATTTCATGATTGAATTCCAAAATGATTCTTGATGCACTTCAGTCTTTTAGCAAATCTTTAGTAAGCAAGCAGCTCATGGCAAAATTGTGTGTAAATATGGCACATGAAAGTGCTCAAATATGTCTGCTTTGACACATTACACCAGGGGTGTCCAAACTTAAATAGCACAATTTACAAAATAGGCCTATGCAGTTTCACAATGTCAACACAGGATGGCAGCACTAAATTTTAGACCAGATGTAGCAGTAACACGCGAGTGATAACAATTTGATAACTCATATGCGCTCTCATTTCTTTAGCGCACGCGAATTCCAAAACGCGTCAAAAGCTAAAGAGCGCGACTCGTTTGAACCGCGCTGCACGGACCGTTTTTAGCTCTGCCTAAAGACAGCGGGCACTGTTTTGACATGGGGGTGGAGTCAAGGGACGGGGGCGTATACAACAGGCCTGGGCATGCCTCTCTGGAAGTGACGTCATCGGCCCCAGGCGCAGCTCACTGATCCAGGCACCATCGTTATTCTCTAGCATTAAAACATGCATGTTTTCGTTTTATTAACTTTATTAACAAATGTATATGTGTATTAGCAGTGTTTGCTCAAGTTAAAGAAGTTGTTAACATGAACCTCTGCTGTTTACTTCTCTCAATGTGCACACTTTTATAGCATTAAAATGTGTATTGTTTCATTTGGTTAACTAAATGTGTTTGTTTAAAATCTCAACCTGTGGGAGGACGCCAGCGCAGAAGCGTTCTTTGTTTACATGAGTTCAGAGTTACTGCTAGTTTTAATGTTAAAGAATGCAATTAACTTCATAAACTAACTTACATCATTAAAAAGGTCTACGACTCAAGCTTCATATCGATCTCGACTTCGTTTTTCATTTACATAACTCCTGGCATAAATTAAGAAATGACTGTAACTGTGAGTGCTCTCTCCCATCATGCAGTATTCCCTTATCCGCTTTTCTGAAAGCTCTGCGTGGACTCTTGCTGCCTGTGAACACCAGCACCTCCAGAGCCCCTTTATTCAGCTGCACAGACAGGAAGGGCTGCAGACACACAGACAGATGGGATGAGGCTTAGACAGCGAACTTGTGTAATAAAAGATCAGTGGAAATCACTATTACTAATCACTTTTGTTACTAGTCACTATTGTACGCAGTGTTAGCGATCTAAACAATCCCACAACTCAAACTAATGAACGTCCATGTTTAATGAATCTGGCATCTGGTTTGTGCTCCAGACATGAATCATTTTCTTCAATTCATGTGTTGCACTGTCAGCAATGCCCTAGCAACCAACAGATTACCTTAGCAACACCATATAACAAACTACCTACTACATACCAACATGATAAAAAACACCCTTCGAAACACTATAGCAACCATATAGCAACAACCTAGCAACCAGATATAACACCCTAGCAACCACTTACAACAAACCACTCACTGCACACCACCATGATAAAAAAAACACTCAGAACACTACAGCAACTGCATAGCAACACCACAGCAACCAGCTACAACACCCTAGCAACCATCTAGAGCCAGTGGCGGCTCGTCAGGGGAGGCACAGCCTACGCAAAATTTTGAGGTGTAAAAATAGTAATAGTAGCTTACAATTTAATGTTAATGAAATCTCAATATAATATTTAATGTCTTCATAATGTGTATTTCTTAATTGTAATTTCACCATTGCAAACAATAAAATATTACTTAAGTCGGAATCCCCTGGGTTTTTACCGCTGCTGTATTCACCATGAACGTCTCTGTGGATAGAGAAGGGGAGGGGGGGGAAGCACAATCCAAACATGGAGATTCTGGCCTCCGTTGATAAAAAATTAACCAATCAGCATCGAGTATTTCTACGCGTCAGCAGAGCGGCTCTATTTCTTAATGGCTTACAAAATTTACAGAGGAGGCTAGCCTCCCTTGGTTTATCAACCAATCACCGTTGAGACATCAATGACGTTGTAATATGCTTGAACAACTCTGTGGCGCCTATAATGTAGTAAATATGGAGGGACGAGATATTGAATATTATATCGCAAATAAATTTAAAAAGCTCCCTTTTGAGCAGCAGCTAAAAATAAAAAATGAAGGAAGACCCACGCCTAATCTGGACATAAAACAATCTTCATTATGCGGCCGAACGCGCTGTTTTAGAAACGAATTATTTAGCAAAACCGAGTGGCTAACAGGCTCAGTGAACTTGAACAAACTCTTCTGCTGGCCTTGTCTGCTATTTGACGAATCAACTGGAGGATTCAATCCATGGATTACGACTGGTTTCAACGATATGAAGAATTTAGCAAGAGCTATGGAAAGACATGCAAAGTCTCGGAGCCACATATCTTCCACTCTTAAGCTGAAGTTGTTCGGGCGGGTAAGAATCGATGAGGCACTCAGCCAGGCCGCTGCCATTGGGGTACTGCGGCATAACGAGCAGGTGGTGAAAAACCGTGATCTTTTGCGCAAACTGATCATTGCGGTTCTATATTTGGGTCAGCAAGAACACGCATTTCGTGGTCACGATGAGTCTGCTACAAGTAAAAACAAAGGGAATTTTGTACAACTTCTAGAAACCTTTTCAGAGTTTGACCCAGCACTTGCAGAGCATCTGAAAACATCCACCATTTTCAAAGGTACTTCAAAATCAATTCAAAATGACATAATTGACAGTATAGCCACTGTTGTAAATAATGCAATAGATCAAGAAATTCAGTCAACTGATTTCTTTGCAATACAAGCAGATGACACTACCGATGTCTCATGTAAATGCCAGCTGTCCGTCATTCTCCGTTATGTGAATGTCAGTGGCGCTATCTGCGAGAGATTTCTGGGTTTCCACGACGTTAGTGCCGACAGAGACGCCGAATCACTTTCTGAAGTGTTAATGAAAGTAATTCAGAAGTACAACCCAGAGGCCAAGTTCATTTGTCAAACATATGACGGCGCAAGTTGTATGAGTGGGCAGTGAGGGGGTGTGAGGGCCCGTGTGAAAGAACAGTGCCCACATGCACTTTTTGTGCACTGTTACCTGGACTGTTTCCACAATTTTTTCGCTCGATCACCCAAAAAGACCACTTTACTGACTGAGGCTGACAATTCAGTTCGAATTCTCGGAGGCTCGGCTACTCGGTGGAACTTTAAAAGCCACGCCGTGAATGCAGTATGTGAAATCCGGCAGAGTCTGAACATTGTCTTTGACCGAATCATGACGGAACCAGGCTGGGATAATGACGCGATCGCTCAGGCCATGGCACTCAAACAGAAATTGCAGGATTTCAAGTTCATGTTTCTACTTGATGTTTTCCGAGCAATTTTTGGACACACCGATGTTTTGTTCCAGGTTCTCCAAGCTAGATCGCTTGATTTGAGACGGTCGTTTGACTACATACATTCGACCCTTAAATCACTGAAAGCACTTCGTACTGACAAATCTTTCCAAGAAGTGTATGACAACACTGTCCGTGCTGTTGGGCACGAGGATGGCCGAAGGAAGC